TTATAAGTGCGAGCAGGGTGGCAAGGGATATAAATCTGACACTTTCTTCTTACCATGCTCTAGAGATTAGGATAATAATCTTCTACTCACTCCGTTCCAAAATAGATGAATCAATTTTGTACTAACTTTAGTACAAAGTTGGGTAATCTATTTTGGAACGGAGGGAGTATTCGTTTCTCTTTTCCTTTGATCTAGTGACTCTCATCTTCCCTATTGATGTCGTTGGGACATTTAGTTTTGTGATGTTGCTTTTCTTCTAAGATATATGTCCATGTACTAGCAATGATGTACTTCTATTTGCAATTACTAATTAAATAAACTGGATTCTCCACTTCACAAAAAACTTATACATGCAACGAGAAAAAATTGTAAGAATACCAGTATCTTGGGAGAATAATTTCTGCACTAATCATCGATAGAATTAGGGCGTTTCTTCATGATACCTTGGCCAAGGATTGTGAGTTGTGGGCGGTGGCTGATCCAGGTCGGTGTGTGCACAGATGCTCGACCGATGGAGTCTTAGAGCGCAGGCTGCAACATCGCTGTGTCGAATGTGCCGCCGTTGCCTACGGCAAAAGAGACGTATGGGCGACTTACGGGGTTGATTAATCAACCCTAGCACCAATTAGCCTAACAAGGCATTGATACACATAAGGCCCGTGGCCTAGAAAGGTTTCTGACCGGTTTTGCAACCTTCGATAACATTCTAGTATGATTTTTCATGTTTTCTTTTTCCTGTTTTCACTTAACCAGGTTTTTGAATTATTTATTCTTTCATCTGTTGCAAATTTTCAAAAAATGTTCATGTTTTTAAAATATGTTCAAATTTTCAAAAATGATTTAGTTTCTGTAATAGTGTTTGGAATTTTTAAATATGTTTTCATTTTCGAAAACAAATTGGAATTCTTAAAAGTGCTCTTCCTTTAAAAAAAATAGACATCTGAACGAATGTTCATGTTCAAAAAAACTGAAGAAACGCGTTTCCAAAAGAATTACGCATTTAAAAATAATTGTCGCAAAAATAAAAAGCTACGACGTATATCAAGGGAGCCAAAGCCAAAGACCTTGTCACATATCCGGAAAATAGGGAAAAAAGCTAACGAAGGCACCACGAGCGCGTATTAAAGCAATGGAGTCCATCCAAATTATCAGCCGGCCGGATCCTGCAATGATACGAGTACCGACCGGCCGAAAAAGCAGCGAAGGGAAAACAGATATGCTACCGCTGAATCCTATTCAGGTTTATTCAGGTTCAGTTTTAACCGGGTACCGACTGGCCGTAAAAGCAGCGAAGGGAACGACAGAGATGCTACGTGACGTTTTATTACTTCTGATTCTGATGATGAATCCAGTTCAGGTTCAGTTTTACCCGGCTGGGTAACCTTCGGTTCCTATCCGTGTAGGTTTGGGAGACTAAATTAGCCTCCTCCAGTTGACCATACTCCGTGCCATCGTATACGCGATCGATGGTCGACGATATTCAGGATTAATCGACGATGGAATCCCTTGCAGAGGAGATTTTGCGCGAGATCCTGCAGAAGCTGCCGGCGAGGGACCTGATCCGGTCCAGCTGCGTCTGCAGGCTATGGCCCGCCGTCATCGGCGACCCGTCTTTCCGCAGGCTCCACGCCAAGGCCAGCCACGTCGTCTCCGGCTCCGGCGCGGAGACCCTGCTCGTCAGGCAGATCCGCGGGGTGCGCATAAGTCAAGAGATGATCGTCCACAACGTCTCGTCGGCGAAGCCCATGTGCAGCATCACCGATGTCGGCAGTGCGTACAACCCTACCAACGTCTGCAACGGCTTCATCTGCCTCGCCTCCTGCATGCCGGACTGGCCAATCTATGTGTGCAACCCTCTCACCGGCGACAAGCTGACGGTTCCACCGCCGCCAAAGATCGAGGGCGTGGCCTCCCGCAAGTACGCCATAGGGTTTAACGCGTCCACCCACCAGTACAAGCTCTTCCGGCTCTCCATCATGTGGTCCAACTCCAAGGGCGGCCACTACCTGGACGTGTACACCTTAGGTGGCGATGGCGGGTGGCGTCGACACCCATACAGGTTCCCGTATAGCCCGACGCATGGCCTCCACTCGCCACCGCCGGTGTTCCTCGACGGCAAGCTGTACGCGCTGACAGCACGACCACATACCTTGCATGTGTTCGACACGATACTAGTAATTGACGTGGCGAGCGAGGTACACTACACGTACACCCTCCCAGAGTTCGGGGGAAGCTATGTGTTGGGAATGCATGCCTTCGAGATGCGCGGGAATCTGTGCGTCGCCGTAGATGTCATTTGCCCACGACGGCTCTGCTTCTGGGTCATGCTGCCGCTACAGAGCATGGGCTTGCCTTGCACCTGGGAATTGCGCTACACCATCTACATGGACGATGATCATAACGGCAGCGACAGGTTGAGGTGTGTCTGGTTTGACGATGGTGACCGGACGCTGTGCTACAGAATGGGGAATTGTCTCTACAAGTATGACACCACCAAGGACGAGCAGGAAGCCATAGGTTGTTTCTATAAGTGGGATCATTGGATCCAGCTGCCAGCAGCTCCATGGCCGGAGAACCAACAATGGAATGTTTACGGTGGTTACCGTCCCAGCCTTGTCTCGCCTCGTCTCCTATTTGCACCCGCGCCGTCATCGTTAATGCAGCACCAGGATGAACAAGAACGCTTCGCGCAAGCTTTGGCACATGCACTGCAACGGCAAAAATCATCAAAGGAATCGTCTCCAATGTGCCAAGATGATTCACAGATCAAATTGTTAAAATAGGGGAGTCTTGGAGCGTAGAATCAAATGACAGTGAAGATGGAATCTTCTAATATTTTCATAATTATTGATCCAATCATTGTGGCCTAATGTTATACCCTTGGATAATAATCACTACTTTTTTCCTGCTCTTAGTGTTGCTAGTTAAGATCTAATTTGCTTATACATGATTATAAATGCATATACATTAGTTATAATCTTTTATCTTACATCCAACCCGCGATCAGGCGTGTTGTAGCATATGATATCAACTTTTTTTTACCACGACAATGATGGTAACAAAAAAAAGGAGTATAATTTGTTTTACTTTCTCTATACACACAACTTTTAAGATTTTAGCTTTTAGCTTTTTTCGCATATGTTCTCACGTGGAAATATATGAACGTGTATTATGAGATGCAATAAAATTATGAAACGAATATGAATATTCAACATCTCCTCCGCCACGGATTCCACCGATGGTATGGTTGACTACCACCACTCATCATGGCGTGTATAGATACGCCTCGAGAGCTTGATCGATCAGCACCTTGATTGATTTCCGATACAAGCAAACCAACCTCGTGTTGCATGCATGTGTTATTTCTTTCCATTGTTGGCTAGCAAGAACCAAAGAGGACCTAGCTAGGCTGCTAGCGCCTATATCCGAATCAAATTGATTTCGGTCTGGTATGATGTGCAAGCTGTTTCCTTAATTGTAAAATTCGTGTGCAATACTGCAGTGACGATGACTAACATTTGCAGCCACGTGTGTGCAAAACTGCAAAATCTTCCCATTTTCAACTATCCATGTGCGGATTTGGCGGCCCAGGTTTCTGATCGAAACCCAAGCTAACTTGTGTGACTCCCTCATCAATCTCTCTCGTATGTCTCCCCCTCGCCTTGATATCTCCCTCACTCTCCCCAACGTCGTGCGCCGCATGTCCTACAACATCTCTGTCCTCAGGGCCGCCGTTCGGGAGAGCAAGGAGGAGAAGCGAGACGAGCAGAGGTATCACGGTATCATGACCAAATCGGTTGCCGTGGCACCGTTGTTGCCCAAGACGTGCGCTCCCGCGAGCGCCACCAGATCGTTTGCCGCCGATGCCGATCTATAATACCGACGAGCGAGCGAGCTAGTAAGTTCTAGATTTCAACGAAGAACAATATAAAGCAGTATAGTTGTGCTCACCCAGAATCGGACGCCGGCGTAGTCGCTCCAGAAATCGCCATGAACATAGCTTGACGGACCACGAGCGCCACAACTGGCTCATCGTGGTCTTTGACCCCAAATCGGAAAAGGAATCTCGTGCGAGACGCAGGACAAGCACCCAACCTGGGTACACGCCATCCAGCCGGGGTCGTACCGAAACTTTATCGCCACAGCCCGGGCCCGTGCGCAAAAAAATGTACCACACTGCACGCTCTGTGCGGCCGGGCCCTTTGTGCGCCAGATCGGTCCCCTGGGCGAGCCCACGAGCCTGATGCGGGCAGTATTTGCCGGTATGGAGCGATATATGTCAACTTACTCTTTACGACAAATTCGATTGCCCGGATCACCTCGGGCAGCATGACCGGCTGGATAACTATGATCAATTGCCGCTGTGTGCAGGACGTCCGCTCTCGGAAGGAGAACGTTGTCTTACAGTGTAAATGCGGAGTGGGGTTCATCCATTGCACGAGGGAGTAAATCGCTGAAGAATGGGGCATGTGAACAATAGAGCCCACATGTCATACTTAGGGCATCCAGCCACGCTCTCTACACAACAGAAGTGTAGTTGCAGCCCTCGGTCTCAGCCCCACTCATGCCGTACATAGCGTGAAATCAGACCACCAGGAGCCTGCGTGACCGTGGGATCTGAGGTCTACGTCATCTAATGCGTTCAAATCTATAACAAAAATTTAGTTGTTCGTCATTTAACTTTCTCGTTCATAAAGACAAAGAAGACGAGACTAGTTATATTAGTACTCCAGTATAAGTTATATGTATTATTTTAGGGTACTACAAGGAATATTGGCACAAACATTGTATACAAACCAACTGGAGGTAGGGATTATGTCAAATAAATAATAATTGAATAATAAACACACACAAATATATAAAGAGTTTGCACATACAAATACATCTGACGGCAAGCACATATCAAAGTAAATCACAACCAATTACATAACATACACACAAGTTTGCACACATATATTTTCATACACGCATACATATTCAGGCACGACATAGCTCATGGCTCATGCCTCAGTTATTTTGCACCCATCGTTGTGTGGAATGGAGCTCGGGTTGGTGAAGTTGCCCTTGAGCACCACCTCTTGCAGCCTCTTAAGGTGGTGAATTCCAGAAAGTTTGCCCGCCGCCTGATTGATGGCCATGTTGTGCCAAACGATCTTCTTGAGCAAAGGGGCTGCGCCACCTTGTTCAATGCTGACGGCGGTGATGGTGTTGCCCTCGACGATGAGGAACCTGAGGTCTTGGAAACCATCCTTGCTGAAAGTGAGCTTTGGCTCGTTGTACGAGTTGCGAAGGAGCCGAAGGCGGCGCAAGTGATGGAGCTTGTTGCCAAGGTCCTGCAGAGAGACTTTAGACAGAAAGGTGTCACACAGTGTAATCTCACAGAGTTCTTGCAGCGCCCAGATCCAGTGAGGCAACCCGGTGTTGAGAAAGCGCACGCCCCTGATATCCAGGCTCTCAAGTAACTTGGGGGCATAATCTTGTGTCATCACCATATTCACAGTGATACTAGGGTCGCCATTTGTGGGTGGCGGAGTGACCCATATTGAGAGAGAGCGTAAGCAATCTCTCAACTTGGTCATTACTCGGAGCAGACTGGCCATGTTGTCTTGAGCTTGGCTTTGGCTGCCAATGAGAACCACGCCCAGCTTCCTAAGCTTCAGCAGGCGGCCAACTTCTTCGAGTTCCTTCATGCCGTGTTCAACCTGGACCCGGGACAGTATCTCCATGTCTTCCATCTTTCCGATCAAGCGAGGCATCCCTGCCCCGCGGATTGTCTCCTCCTCCGTCGTCATCTTCGGGCCGGTGAGCAGGTGCTTTAGCTTTCGGAGGTAAATGTGCTTCATGTCTGGGCCCCATACCTTAGTTTGCCGGATGTCGAGCGTCTCCAGCAGTATGAGATGGCTGACCTCTGGGGGTAGGCGGGAGACGTCCGTGTTCCGGATGCTGAGGTACTTGAGCGAGACCATGTTGCAGATGCTCTTGAGGTGGCTCGTCTTTAGACCCTTGCAACCCCCAAGATCCAGCACATTTAGCCGGTAGGTTTGGCCGAGAGACTTGAGGAAGTTTATCATGGCATCCATGGGATCGGGATCTGCCACCATGCTGTCATCCGGCGGAGGCCTCGTCCAACGGCCACAGATGCTCCACGGGTGGCGTGGTCGTGGATGATTCTTCTGATGCTCCTCTTGCCGTTTCACAAATTTCCGGATGCGAAGCTGGTTTTCGAGGTGAGTCGGCAGGTTGTCCACAAAGTTCTCCGTTGTGGACATGCGATAGAGGAAGCGCCAGACGGTGTCGTCAATTGTGAAGGTCTTGACCTTGCTGGAAGCGGTGGCTGGGTCGTCGACAGGAAGAAGGAACCCCCGGAAGAGGAGATCTTTGAAGCAGAGCTCCGCTGCCTCCTCGAGGGTACCATCAAAACCTGCTTGCTTCTCCACGCGGCCTTCGGCGAGCCATCGCCTGACCAAGCTCGTCCTGCTGATGGCGGCTTCATGGCGGAAGGCATAGAGATACTGCAAGCAGCTCTTGTAGCTCCTGGACAGCTTGCTGTAGCAGAAGATCATGACTTGAGTGGGAAAATCTTGGATGTCCGTGTCCGCTTCATCCACTAATTTCAACAGTTCTTTCTTGGTCTTCTGGACCGCCGGGCGGGCATGGCTATGATCCCGAAGAGCACGGAGGAGCATCTCCATGCAGATGGCCGCACTCTCCTCGGTCGACAAATTTTGAAGGAGGCAATCACGTACTTTGGTGGCCGCCGATTGAAGATCCTTAAAAGGGAGGAGACGGATGGCCTCGTCAAAACATGGGACGAGCTCCTTCTTCTGCTGCTTTTCCTTGTCACGTGCCAACGCACGTACAAATTGAGTAACGAGACCGATGGCCTCGTTCTTCTTCTCCTGTTTCTCTTGGTCACGTGCCAGCGCACGTACAAATTCTTCTCTGGCCTCGTCGATCTTGTCCTGGCTTGCTTGGGCCTCGGCCGGCGTCAGCGGGGGCGTCGCTTCCTCTTCCTTGAGCTTGGGGATGCTGACTTGGTAGCGCTCCCGTCTCTCGCCGATGTCCTTGACGCGGGCCTTGAGGTCGCGGATCCTGATGGCCAGGTCGTGCTCCTCACCACATGGACACCCCAGGCGGAGCACCATGCGGCGGAGGCGGGCCCAGAGGCCGGCGCTGGACGGGTCCATGAAGTCGCGTCTGTAGAGCTCGATGCAGTCCTGCGCGATGTAGGAGATGTCGCGGACCTGCTTCATCCAGGCGCGGAGCTGGTCGTCGTGCTTGCCCTCCGTCTTGGTCAGGTGGATGAGGAAGCCGTTGATGCTCTCCATCTCGTCCTTGATAAACTGCATATCACCCTGCAGGCCGCCCAGCAGCTTCGCCTCCTCCTTGACCGCCGTCAACAGCACGCTCACCAGCGAGTCCACCGCAACTTGGGTCAGGTCAGCCATCTCCCTCCCCTTCTCTCTTCCCGATCTGGTACGTGTTGATGGATATATGGATGGATGCAAGGGCAACTCAGCCTACCATATATAGAAATGGGCCTTCGAATGGAATTGATGAATACGTGTCATCAACAAGGAATCAAGGATGCAAATTTCTTTGGGTGCCCAAGGCCAATGCTTGGGGAGGGTTGGATGGTAGGCTAGCTATCTGCGCTGGGATGGAGCAAGATCAATGGCTAGCTGCTCTACTCCGGCCATCCACCACCCATGTATTTATATGGAATGAGGAAGGCGAATAAAGAATGGTTGGAATTAAGAGGCAAGAACAAACCGGCCTCTTGCATCGGACAAAGCATCCCAGTACGATGAGAAAGGGATGGCGTGACATGTTTGCTGACAGATTGAAGCAAGGATCCTCCACCCATTAAGAAAGACTCCGGGGGCAAAGAATGTAGCACAAAGCACTTGCTTCCTGGTACAGTAAAGCTAGCACATGCATGTCTTGGGACACCGGCCCTATGAAAAATGCAGACTCCACAAGGAAAGTGCTCGATCTAGCAGGAATAGGAAGTCTAAGTAAAGAACATATTTGTGCCTGCTATTTCTTGTACAAGTAGCACGGTGGCCCTCGCAAATGCGTGGGCGATCTGGTCCTTATTGTGTTGAATATAGAAATATTTCTAATTTGCACTGATCTTCCCGTAATGTCATAGAAAATAATATGGTTGTATAACTATTATATACTCCCTTCGTTCTTAAATATAAGTCTTTTTGAGATTTCAATATGAACTACATGCGGATGTATATAGACATATTATTTAAGAGTGCAGATTCATTCATTCTGCTCCGTATGTAGTCGCTATTGGAATATCTAAAAAGACTTATATTAAGGAATGGAGGGAGTATGTTTTTACCAAGGGTCCCATCCCCCACTTTCATCTCCCTTGGATACTTTGGGACTTACGAATTGGAAAGAATTCCGACCATTAGATTTTTTTCATAGATAACTGTACGAAAAACAAATCCAGTTTCTAAGTGAAAATTCCAAATAAAACTGAAAAACTTACTCCTCACGGCCATGACACCATCCTGGGGCAATAGATAAGAATCCAAAGATAAAGAGTGAAAGTTAACAAAAAAATATGTCACATATGCAGATAATATTTACTTTCTACTTAGTGTGCTGAGTATGCCATTTACAAAAAGGTCACATCGATTACTGTATGTTCCCTTCTACGGGTTAGCCTATATATAATTTTATGTGAGGTTAGACTGGTATGTATTATTGACATTCAGACCTTCAATTTGTCGATCATTGGTATTAGATGTACAGTAAGCAAAATATATATAATGTAGTCCAATATGGGGCCAGATGAAGTTTAGAGGATCTTTCAAATATAAAACCAAAATGAATTTCATATATAATGAATCCGAATACGATGAGCAAGAGATGGCGTAACAGATTGAACCAAGGAAACTCCAGCCATTAAGATTGACTTTGAGAGCAAAGAATGTAGCATAAAGCACATGCTTCCAGATACAGTAAACTTGTTTGGGGACGTCTGGGGACCCCGGCCCTATGAGAAATGCAGACTCCACAAGAAAAGGGCTCGGCCTAGTAGGAATAGAAAGTCTAAGTAAAGAATATATGCGTGTATTCTATGTACGTTGGGCGCACTGTTTCTTGTACAATGCAATGCAAAAGTGTATATGCTTCTGTTTGAGTATATATGATCTGTGTATACTGTGTATTGGGCCCGCCTTCTAGTCCCTGTATAATTGAACTCCGTGGTCCACCTTTATACTCATATATACGTGCTTATGCACGAAGAGCAATATATCGTGCAATTCATACATTCTACATGTTATCAGTTTCCGGATTCTAACTCTAGCTTTCGGCCGCCGCCGGGTATCTCCTCCGTGCCGCCGCCGCCGCCACCCAACCGTCGCCGCCGCTCGTGCGCCCTCTGCACCGGCCGCCGGCTAGCCCTGCCCGATCCCTACCCGCCTGCGCTCTCGCCCGCCAGCCGTTGCTCCAGCTCGAGCGCACGCACACCCGATCGCCACCACACGCGCCCGCTCGATTACGTGTTGGAGTTCCGCCGAGTTGTGTGATCAATCGATCGACGACTAGCTAGCACGTAGTACGTGCATGTACCAGTATCCTACGTGCGTGAAGAATCGATCCAGGAGCATAGCTAGCTAGATTGCTTCACGTCAAAGGACAAATCCATCCAGCTCCGTGTCCGCCAGCGCCTCGCCAGCCGCCGTTGCACCCGTAGTCGCTGCTGCCGCCGGGGCCATGTCGTCTGTCACGTCTTTCGCGTCCGGCCCGTCAGCCGTCACCTCTGCCATCCTGCCGATGTTGTCCTCTGGCGCGGCTCTACCGCCGGCGTCCTACGGTGCGGCCCTGCCGCCGCCGGCGCACTCTGGTCATTTCCACTACGGGCCTTCTGGCGCAGCTCCACCGCATGTGTCCTACGGCGCGGTCCCGCCACCGCCGGCACTCTCCGGCGTCCGGTCGCCGGCGCCGCCTCAGCACGTTCCCACGTACGGGTATCCTACTGCAGGACATACGGGGCTCCGCCTGTGTACGGGTCTACTGGATACTGGTGGGGGTCGTCAGCGGGCCAGCACTCGCCCGCTGGGCAGCAACCAGATGGCGCCCAGCACCTGCAGCAGCCATGGACTGGTGTCGTTCCTGCACCGACGCTTCCCGTGCCGCGCCCGCCCGCGTATCATGCGTACTCCGCGGCTGTATGGAGAGTACCCACCGCCGCAGCTGAGCGGCGGCTACGGTTTCCCCATGGCGTCTCCATCCTCCTTGCCGGCCCTGTCGCCGGCTCCATGGGACACCGCACTACATGCCGCTCCTACGCCGAACAACCACACTGGCGATGCTGCTTTGTACATGTACACCGGTGCTACGGCTCACATGTTTTCTCATCTTGGTAACCTTGCCTCTTTCACTCCTGTCTTCACCGACCGCCGCATCATTGTCGGTGATGGTTCCACACTTCCTATCACACATGTTGGGCACACTTCTTTTCCTTCTACTTCCACACATTTATCCTTGTCTAACATACTTGTGTCTCCTGATCTTATTAAGAACCTTGTTTCTGTTAAATGTTTCACTCGTGAAAATCCTGTTACTGTTGAATTTGACAGCATTGGTTTTTGTGTCAAGGACGCTCGAACCAGGATGGTACTCCATCGCTGTGACAGCCCCGACGAGCTTTATCCGGTGCATCCGTCTTCTTCCACCACCGCCGCACCGGCGGCTCTCTCCGTTGGCGTCGATCTCTGACACACTCGCTTGGGTCATCCCAACCCCGTCACACTTCGTCATATTCTTAAGAGTTTCAGTTTCAGTTCCACTAAGATTGAGGATCACACTTGTCATGCATGTCGAGTCGGCAAACATGTTCGTCTGCCGTTTAATAATTCCACCACCATTGCTTCTTTTTCTTTTCAGTTGATTCATAGCGATGTGTGGACCTCTCTAGTTCCTAGTAATTTGGGCTATTTATATTATCTAGTCATTCTTGATGATTATTCTCATTACATATGGACTTTTACTTTGCGCAGAAAGTCAGATGCACTCTCCACCTTGACGGCTTTTTACTCCTATGTCCGCACACAGTTTGGGCGTCCATCCTTGCGTTTCAGACGGACAATGGAAAAGAGTTCGACAACCTCGCTTTCCGCACCTTCTTATCGCATCATGGCACAGTTTTCCGCCTCACATGCCCGTACACTTCCCAGCAGAACGGTCAAGCCGAACGCGTCCTTCGCACTCTGAACGACTGCGTTCGCACGCTCCTATTTCATGCTAACGTGCCGCCTCGCTTCTGGCCGGAGGCGCTTGCTACTGCATCCCTTCTCCTTAACATTCGACCCTGCCGACTACAGTGGAATTTTGCACCCATTTTTGGGGAACGTTGCAGAAAACAAAAATTTTCCTACTCGTTTCACCAAGATCATCTAGGAGTTCATCTAGCAACGAGTGATTAGATGCATCTACATACCTTTGTAGATCGCGCATGGAAGCGTTCAAAAGAACGGTGATGATGTAGTCGTACTCGACGTGATCCAAATCACCGATGACCAGCGCCGAGCGGACGGCACCTCCGCGTTCAACACACGTACGGGACGGGAGACGACTCCTCCTTCTTGATCCAGCAAGGGGGAAGGAGAGGTTGATGAAGATCCAGCAGCACGACGGCATGGTGGTGGATGCAGGGCGTCACAGCAGCAGGGCTTCGCCGAGACTACGAGGGAGAGACGTAACGGGGGGAGATGGAGGCGCCAGGGGCTGGTGTAAAATCCCTCCTCTCCCCCCCACTATATATAGGGGTGCCAGGGGGGGCGCCGGCCCTAGTAGATGGCATCTACTAGGGGGGGCGGCGGCCAAGGGGAGGTTTCCCTCCCCCCCAAGGCACCTAGGGTTGCCTTCCACCACATGGACTCTTCCATGGTGGAAACCCTAGGCGCATGGGCCTATAGGGGCTGGTGCCCTTGGCCCATCTAGGCCAAGGTGCACCCCCTACAGCCCATGTGGCCCCCCGGGACAGGTGGCCCCACCCGGTGGACCCCCGGGACCCTTCCGGTGGTCCCGGTACAATACCGATAACCCCGAAACTTGTCCCGATGCCCGAAATAGCACTTCCTATATATAATTCTTTACCTCCGGACCATTCCGGAACTCCTCGTGACGTCCGGGATCTCATCCGGGACTCCGAACAACATTCGGGTTTCTGCATATACATATCTTCATAACCCTAGCGTCACCGAACCTTAAGTGTGTAGACCCTACGGGTTCGGGAGACAAGCAGACATGACCGAGACGACTCTCCGGTCAATAACCAACAGCGGGATCTGGATACCCATGTTGGATCCCACATGCTCCACGATGATCTCATCGGATGAACCACGATGTCGAGGATTTAATCAATCCCGTACGCTATTCCCTTTGTCTATCGATATGTTACTTGCCCGAGATTCGA